TTGGAAAAGTCAAAAGGCTTAAAAGAAATACTGTGCCAGTAGCCAAGCATGGTGGTAGGAGCATTTGAAGGGTCTTTCTTTTCATCTGTCATGCTGAGGAAATGCCAGTGTTGATAATTCATACAGGAGTACCACTCAATTATTTATCTCTATCTCAATTCAACAGCTACATTGTTGAAAATTGGATAGAACTAGGACAATAATTCCAAATACACACCACACTTTCTCTTGGACTGGTTAAACAAAGATACGGTCTATTAAGAGAAGCAACTGACCCATACCCCAACTCCTCTGCCAAATTGTGCAAAAGGTTTAAAATGCAACAAGATGTACCTTGTTGGGGAATGTGAAATTTGTTAACTTTTTCCCAAATCTTTCCACATTACATCTACCCATTGATATAGGTACTAGATTACATATAACCATCTGATTGAGGCGGGCTAGCTGACTCATGCATTCATACTTGATCCAGTTTTCTCTACAATTTTGTCTCCATGCCAGTGATTCAGCTCCAAACTCAGTGGTGTTTAATGTGGCTCATTAAAATGAAAATAAAAAATGGTTCCTCTTGGTTAAACAGACAGTCAGACAGTGGGCATTCTCGGTCTTAAGTCAGTATATGTGGATGGACTTTTTGTTTTCTTAGCATTCTGTGAGTTCTACCAAATACACTTTGACAGGCATTATTTCATAGAGGAAAATAACATGGACAGGCATACAGTTGGTTAAAAAAGCTAATGACAACCCACTGACCCAATGCCTGCCACCCACAGGAGCGCTTTTCCAGTTTGCCTGGTGGCGAGAACAGCACTGTTTGAAGTTAATTGGCCATATACTTATCAGAAATTAAAGATTTGACCTAATCATGGCACTGGATGAGATGGAAAAGGATCAACATGGGCATTCAAATTCCTCCTGAAAGGAAACATAAATATGTATGCAGAATGTCTTTGCACTTCAGACTTAAAACACTGTATATAAACCTCATGGTGGTGCTGGAAGTAACTGATGTGGCGATAAAGCAAAAGAGAGTTTTGTGGAACCATATGACTACTGCAACAAAGACCTGATGCACGACACTGACTGAATATTCTCTGAAGTAAGCAGCAAACACAATGTGTCAAAGTGATGCAAAGATTAATTGCCTTCACGGTCTAGCGGAGAACACAGAAGCAAATGTGATGCAATCTCACAACTTTTTTAACTTCAATGGCCATATGTGACGAACGACTGCCATCATAATTGCAACAGCTCATCCCTAGTGTAATCAAAATTCAGGGAGCACATCAATAATCAAGTGCAATTAATCTGCTAATATCCCCCTAGTGTCAGAATAATGGCAACATTAACAGGGCTCATCTGCCCCTCCGCTGATTTGCTAGGTGGCTTAATTCAAAACAAGAAGACACTGAACGCTATTCGACACCTCTTTTCTTTCCCCCTCCAGCATTCATATCACCAAAGTCAATTTGAATAAACTACTGTCATTTCCCATAAGGGCTGATCCTGCTACACAAATTCCTCCCTGCTAAACAGGTTTGCGATCTTCAATGAAGTGGCGCATACAAATTACCCCATCCTATCATGCAAACAATATGAGTTGTGACAGAGAGGCGAGAGATCATATAAAGGAATATTTGTACATTGCCAGCAGAAAGTAGCTTTATCATATGATGACAGGAAGGAAGTGGGCGAGGGTGAGACATATTTTACAAGAATAATGAGCGGATAACTGGGCTGACTGTCTGCGCTAAGAAGACAGACGCTGATTTTGTGTTTAGCTGGATTACAAAATCAAACACCGGCTATCCACCTGATACTGCAGCGAAGGTGGTTGATTCTTGTTAAAAGAAAGCCAAAGACTACTGCTGTACCAGCTATGTACTGTAGAACATGCAGTAAACATGTAGAAAAACGTATTGGCAGCATCATGCAGTGGGAATCCTAAGGTAGGTGCAGTTGAAGGTGAGATTGTTGGAGCAATTCCATAAGAGCAACTGCCTTAAAGGTGGATTGAAAGTTCACTTTCCACAATGAAACATTCCTTAACCAGCTGCCAGTTACCCCCACATTCCACATCCTCTGCAACCTCTCCCTTCCACCCATGTACACCTAAGTGTGGACCATCCCACATTCTCAGTGACTCTTCCAAACGTCACCTACCAGGTACCTCTCCTTGCTTCACCATCAAATTGCTCAAGTTCCAGGCCTTTGCAATCAGGTCAACCTCTGCGGGTGTAATGGTATCATATGTAAAAATGACTGTTAACAACATTTGGTGTGTGAAAGTAAAATGGGGTAAGAACAGATTGGTGCACCAGGACCTCTCATGGCCGCAGCAGGGAATAGCATGATGAAAAATGGATAATATAATATCACACATGGTCTGGTCAAGGAAATCATAGTGGAGCAAAATGGGAGTAACAGTGGAAGCTGTGGGCGTTGCTTCATATATACGGTCTGGAACTATGCTGAGAAGTTACAGAGGATGTAGAATGTGGGGGTTACAGATCCAAATAGCCCTAAATATTAATGCATGCCACACTTATCAGATTTTTATTTGAAATAAAATAAAACAATCCATACTATGCTATGCTATTACTGTCAACAGTGAATTTCTTTCACTCCATCATGTAAAATTCCAAAGTTGAGGCTTTAGATAGCAGACTGGGGCCTGGAGTTCTTCAAAGTCTCTTAGCTTTAATGATTTCAGCCAAACACGCATGGGAACACATATCCATTTCTACATTGTTAATTTAATTAATTGTCGGAAGGCTGGAGAAAATGTGTGTTACACTGCATAAAAACCATGAGATGGTACATTGAGTGCTCCCAACCCTCCGACTTCTATTCATCTGTAATGAATGAAATCTGACTTATAATTCAACAAAAAACAGAAACATGCGTTAATAGCGATTTGCAAAAAAAAGTGTTAATCTGGACTATTTAAAATTCCATCATGTGATGCTCTTTTGAGTAAAAAGTGAACTGATGTAGAGATAAAGAGTGGAATATTCATCCTGTCGTAACTCAAATCAACATTATTAAAGACCTTCCTCAAAATTCAATCAAATTCTTGCTTGTAAGAGAAAGGAAGCAAATTAAAATCCTTTTTATAGAAACTACGTAGATAATTGGGGGAAAAAAATTTATTATTTTTTAGCAAGTTGCAGCAGTATTGACGATGCATTTTACAGGATTTTATAGACTGCAAAAGAAAGACGAATATATGTACAAAACCTTGGAACAAAAATAAAGAACCTGATAAAAAAGAAAGCACTGACTTTATAGAAGAAAAAAAAAACATTTCACTTCAGAGTGATGGAAAACTTACATCATTTTTAAGCATACAATCAAGGGTTGTTATTTGGTACCGTTTCAGGAGATTTATTTCTCAAACTTGTGTAAATCCTTTCCAAACAGGTCGAGAATCAATGCCAGCCTGATGTTAGCGAGCAGTTATGCTCAGCCATGGTCATTCTCAGGTGGACGATAAAGAGGGGGAGACAGAATTTGCTGAGCCTGAACCTCCTCAGAGGCTTTCTCTTCACATCTCCTACAGTACATGCTCCAATTCACTTTCTAAAAATATTATACAAGAAAGTAAAACTGAGAAAAAAAAGAATTTTTAAGTTTAGAAATGCACTAATTATAGCAATAATAGGAGACTGATGATTGAACAGGGAGATTGGGCCACAATAGGTCACCGCTAAAGAACCTGCTTGATTATATAATGCTGTATCCAATTTTATTAATGAAATGTTAAGTGGAAGAACCAAATTGCTGTATCCATATTTACGTTACCAGAGAAACAAAACATTAAAATGCATTAAAAGTGGTATTAAGCATAGCTGCAAGCTCTATGCAACCCTGCTCACAACAACCATTGACAGAGGCAAAGGGACTTTCTCTCAGTTAAAAAAAAAAAAAAGTTTCATCACATAATAGGTAGCCTTTCTCACTTCTGGATGCCTTCTCAAGTGTTAGCCACCTAAATATATATTTCTGTGTTCAAAATACTTTTTAGTTGGCCTTAAATATTATTCAAATGTTCTACAAAGAAAAATCTTGAGTTTTGTAATCTCTAAACTCTGTCAAAATAAGGAGTAATGAATGCTTTACATACATAAATTTGTATTCTTGGTAAATAAATGTGTCATGTATTAATTTAATTAATGCAACGCATTACATTTTAATAATATTCAAAATGATTGTAAATTGTTATTATCAAACTGATAAAAATGTATGTGAAACTATTTCTGAATGTAATGTAAGCCATTGTCATTCCCTTCTGAGGCGAATATAGTGAAGATCAATACTTCCATAAATCTCCTCAAGTCCGCCAACAAGGAAGGTCAGTGTAGAAGAAATCCCAATAACACTAGTGAACCGTGCAAATAGGGTCACAGTGAGGGTATAGTTCAGTGAGTAAGTCAGCAAGTCCCCCGGGAAGCCTAGGTGGCGAGAACACCATTCCCTGTGGAAATAGGACAGGACGACCAGCCGAATACACGGCATAAAGCTGCTGAATGCACTGCACTTTATACCTGGCTCGCATTCATTTTTAATAAAGTATAACAAGTCATAACACCAGGGCAGAAACACAATCTGCCACCCAGATGATCAAACAGCACAACGACTTTTTGCACTGCGTATCGCCTGACAGCGCTGGAGGCACTGAGCTGAACCGCTTCAGCATCTCTGCAAACACAAACAGCAGCCGATGCATCTCTGTCTCACCAGTCACAGCGAAAGGAAAAAGCCCTTTTCCCTGTGCGCCTTATCAGAGGGCAGCGAGATAGAGACTGCTGGACGCATCAGAAAAGTCTGCCCTACTTTTTTTTGAAGAGCCAAACAAAACCTGGTCCCAGTCTGCTTGCTACCAGGGTGAAAAAAGATGCACTTTGAACAAATATATTCTGTTTTGCAGGTCAGGTTCCCTGTTGAATGAGCTGCATAACAGACAGTGTTCAAATGTAAAGGAAGGAACATGAAAATACCTTTAACTGTGACACTTCCTGTGCTGCTTGCTACTCCAAACTGGTTTCTTGCAACACAGGTGTAGAGACCAGCGTCCGATTTGGTCACATTCCAAATCCGAAGGCTGCCATTGTCCAGAATGGAGATCCTGTGGTTACAAACAGAAAAATTACTACTATATTAATAATTCACCAGTTATCTATCTTAACATTTTTAATCTTGTGACTAAAATGTTTTTAAGAATGACCTTTTTGCAAAGTAGGAAGAACATACAGTACAACAAAAAAGCTAATCACTTTGAGAGATATCACTTCTGCTATGAAACACTGAGGTGGATGTGTTATCCTGTGGAAGGAAGCTGATTAATATGAGAGCCCCCATGGGACAACATTTTCAATTTCTCTTACATGCCTACATAAAATCTCAAATAACTATTCACTTTTTAATCATTTATTTTATAGATCCAAAAGATAAGAATGAACAACAGAATGAAAATACTGGTAAATGTAAAAGAGTCTGATAGAGAATGTGAAAATTATGTTTTTTTGCATGAATAAAAAATGAGCATTAGATTAGATTTGATTAGGAGGCAGCATTGCTGATGTCAGGCCATTCACAGGTAAAGATTCCTCTGTATCTTTAGCATTTAGTTTTTCGACTTCAATATTGATAATGGATACAAAAAAGGTTATTTTCTGATTAATATTTTTAAAAGTTAACAGAGAACATTTGGATAGTGCTGTTTGCATACAAGATGAAAATTAGAAAAAAAAATGCAGCTGTTACAGTATGTTCACTTTTAACAGATATTGACATTCCAACCAATGCTAAAAGGAGTTGGATAGAAGGTGCATAATTGCAAAAACGGATTTGACATAAAATAAACAAAAAACAATTGACATACTCCTGGGGTTAAATCGTTGTTACATTTATTCTCAGTCTTTGTGCTGCCGTGAATTGCACTTTATAAAAGGGTCATATTTGGGTGTTTAATTGTTGGTTTTTGCAATGTTGTAACCCTAGTAAAGTGCATACAGTATGCTGGGAGTTTTAAATTGAAAATAAGTTTGTTTTCTTACAAATAGCACTTGAGAAGTTCATCAACAAAGTAAATCTCTGTCTAAATGTCATCTTAAATGCATTAATATTTAATTATAGACCTTTTATATCAAGGCTTTCAACAGAAAATATAGAATGACAAATTACTTTTGATTAGACATCTATCTAAACTAGAACTGTATCTTAAATATCAGAGCGGATTTCAATAAATGTGAGCGCTACATGATAAATACTTTGGTAGTTGTGTTATTTATAACTACTGCTTTTTTCTTTCTCTTGTCTTTAAAGAGCATACATTGTAATAAGGTTTTCAATTCATTTAAATGCTTTTAAAAATCTTTTTTTATAAGTTTACTGTAAGGAATTTTTTTTCTTTCTACATTTATAATTGCTTTCATTTAAGGACCATAATCATATATCTTCCCACTTTACACAGGGATGTCATACTTTTATCAAACTCACAATGGAAAGAAATATGCAAATAAAACAACAACAAAAAAAAAAAAAAAACAATAAAAGCCTCAATGAAAGTGGATACATTTTGAGTGCTTTTGAAATGAACAAGTCCTGGGACTGCAGGACAGTCATTGCTGAGATAAAGGAAGCCTTTAAGCAAAATACCCCAGGATATCAGGTATGATTTATTTTTGGAATGTTTAAACAATGCATTCAGTTCAGTTAAAGAGTTAAGTAAGTCACAAAATTTAGGATATAGTCATCATGTTTTTGAATTCTCTTGCTAGTGTTGAACTTTTGATGCCATGTGGAAGCAAACTTGTTTAACCAAAGTTGTGTGAAGGCCAAGAACTGAATGGGTTTACGATTTATAAGATATTCAAGTCAAAGTCGATGTACATAAGACCATCAACCGACCTTCTTCTTATGGTAAGCTAGTTAAAATTTTGTGTAGGTCACATATATTAAGTGTTGTCAAGTTACTATTCGCTGTCCTAAAAGGAACTAGAAGGAGCTAGATGACGGCATTGCCTAATTTGCATACGTCATGTCTTCCAGCTGCAGTAGATTCTGAATCCTTCCAATTTTTTTCTGTCTGTCAAAGCAGAGCGGGTAGACAGGATAGCAGGGAGGAAGAGATGTACTTTTACAGAGATGACTTTTACAAAAACAAAAAAAGAAAAATACATATAATTCAGCAATTTAGTTCGACACTCCATAGCTATTGGTTACATAAATGAACTATTAGTTGCATTTATGCAAGATAAACAAATGAAAAAAAATATGATGAAGAAAGTAGGGGAGAAAAAGGGGAAAGAATGAAGCTGTAGCTCGAAAATGCAGTTATTTTATGTGAGACAACTGCGTCAGTTAGAAATTATTTTCATTATTTAATTTGCAATCTAGGACGGGATTAGCAGTACATTCACATTTCAATTGCAATTTGGATCTTAAGTGGAAAAGTCTACTCTCTCTGCTGCAGCACAAGCAGCCTGCCCTGCATGACGACAGTTGATAGTGAGAAAGAAAGCGAGGGAGAGGCAGGCTTCTGATCATGTCACGCAGAAGGACAGAGTTCCATGCTTTTATGTTGCCAAATTCTCCATTAACACAGAAAAAAAGGTGTTAGATTTGGCTCTAGGTGCTTTTGTTGTATATATCTAGGATGACCAGTTCTTAATGTTGCTGGCACTCTTGAACAAAGCAGGTCCCCTTGGCTCATTTCCAAAGATCTTGATCATGTAAATATAAAACTGAACAAAAACGCACATAGCGATCATGTACAACATCCAAAACTTGTTTAGGGGCACCAATGAGAGAAAAATTGTTTGTGTATATCCCATAAGTTTATACACTTATCTGTGCAAGATTGTGCTGTCATGTCCAAACACTCCCAGACCCTCAGTTTCTCTTAAAATTTTAAGCACACTGTATTGCATTTATAAAAAAAAAAAAAAACCTCTAATATAATTTTCCTTAATATTTATATTGAAGAAAACTAACAGTAAAAAAAAAAACAGGAACAATAAGACACACAAACATAAATATCCTCCAAAAACATGACCAAATACACCAAAAAAATTTAAACAAGCCACGCTTTTCATTCAGAATGAAAAGCAGTTCTACCGAATCCCAAGGTTATTCATGAATTCATAGGAAGTCAAAAGCAGTTTGCCAAAAAACAAACAAACAAAAAAAAATCCCTTTTTCCTAAAACTGAATGGATGGAACGTGAAATCCTGACTGGCTGGTTTGGCTTTTTTTTCCATTTTTATTTTTTTATTTTTTTATAGAGAATGTAAATATCTGGTTTCAACTCTATATATAAAAACCAGCCAACAGAAAAATCCCACCAGGAGGACCATTTATTAAGCTGCCAACAGATATTGATTGAAGACAATTCCCAAAGCTAGCAATAAAACCCACAGCTTGACAGTAGACAATATCCAGCCTTTTTAGGTATTGATCAGGTGCATTAACAAAGAGGAGACTACCATAATCAAAAGGCAAAAAGGTTACAGAAACAAAGGTTGAGAAATAGGCTGCATCCCTTAAATGAATAAAAAAAAAATAAGTTTCCACTTAAGCAAATTCATTAATTTTTAAGTAGTAAAACACAAAGTCTAATTGATAATGATATCTAAATACTTTGATGATGTTTCCACTTTCATTTCAACACTGTAAGCAGTTCACTCTGGTTGGTATTAAGACATCTTCCATATCTCTGTCTCTAAAAGTAAAAAATGTACAGACATACTATACTGTAAAAGTCAGACAACCATAAATGCATTGATGCGTTAAATATTCTATTGTTTATTGTTGTTTGTCAAAATTTTCTGAAATAAATTCCTATTTATTTATTTATTAATTCATTCATTTATGTTTGTAATTTGACTAATGCACTAATACAACTATAAACTAATAAATGTACATTTAAATGTGTGATTTTAATGTGGATGAGGGGATACATTTAAAGGGGTATGGACATTTTTTCAAATCTGTTTAAATGTGGTTTTCAACAAAGATTAAATAGAACTAAAACACAACTTCATGTAAACTCAACACTCATACAATAGTAGCTTCACATATAGAGGCTGTTCTTTCTAAGTCTTATTTTTTCAAAATGCAATTCAGCATTTTGAGCTTAAATTAGAACCTTGCAGGTTTTCATGCAAAGAAAATATATGCTCTATAATTATTATCAAATTCTGAAAAATTACATCTGTAGATGGTTCTATATTTGGATGTGCAAAGTGGCCATGTGCTAAACCAAATGTTACTGCTGCTATTGTAAAACAGCAGCTTTCAGGACCCTTTAATAGATTAGAACTTTGATTAGAAATAGATCAGATGTTTGACATTGGATGTTTAAAAATCTGGAGTTACTCTAACAAAAACAGAAGATACGATATATTTCTTGTTTCTGATTCATTTCTGCTTCATTTTAGATGCAAAAAATAAGATATAACTCTGTATTTTAGGGCTGATTAATTCGGTGCATTGCTCCGAGATATAAGAGACAAAAGTGGCTTCCTGCCCTTTATGCAATGACCACAAGTGCTTCAAAAAAGGTCGAAAGGCCTCAACAAAAGTTGACATTTTCGAAATAACATGCTGAAATGGAAATTGTGCCCTTGAAAGCAAGGTACTGTGGGAAATCAAGGGTGGACCACCTCATCAAAGCACGCTGAATTTTAATTATCTGAAATGCTCTGCTGATTCTGCAAGCTGTAAACATAAAATGTCCTCAGCCTGATTGTGAGGGGGGAAATGATGTGAGGCTGGAAAATTGCTCCGCTCACTTATGAACACAGTTGAGGGAGTCAAAGTGAACAGAGTCATGTGTCGGATGGCATGTAGGATTTCAGAGTTCCAAGGCACCGTAGTATTTCCGCATGACTACAGACTGCAAAGATAAATCATTCATCACAAAACTCTAAATCCACCTAAAGCTTCTAGTTTGTAAAATCGACAAGGGCGAAAAATGTTTTACATGATGAAATTTAAACACATTTAACTTAATTTTGTTACATAAAGTATCTATGAAAACCAACCCCCCCTAAGACATGACCAGCTGTTTTGTTTAAAAATGTCTAAACGAAGAGAAACATGTTAGATAGAAAGAAAAGGGTA